CCTTTTTAGAAAGTAAACCATCGATGAGGAAATGCTGACAGTTTTCTAAAAAAATGCTTGAACTTAAGAAGTTTTAGGTTTGCGTGGTTTTTTTTGAGTTGCAAAATCCACTTGAACATGACGCTGCTTTTTTCGAGTTCTTAAGAACCATTTGAGCCACAGAATTCGTTTTGGCATCGTTGGATAGAGAATTGAATGGGGTCATGATCCCCATGACTCCCCCCTGGATCCGCCCTTGGTTTCACCAAATTTCTGTCTAAACGTTGACTTCGCGCGATAAGCTTAAGTATGATCTTCTCTAAATTGATCTGGGTTTCATTGTCCCGATATCTACTGTCGTGTTTATTAACAATGAAACTTTCAGCATTTTTAGAGCCAAGTATCGTCTAAAGATAGTAAAAATTGCGCATTACTACTTGGTTTAGTTTAGGGATGCGAATTTTTAAAAAAAGGAGCGCATTTGGGTAACACCATCAAGTTTGGGCCTAATAAGTTCTAAGCTCCCAAAAACCAGGCTTGCACTCGATTTGAGATAAAATTTTCATGGCCATTTGAGTCAAGTGTTCTTGAAAGGTAGCGAAAGTTTTAAACTGCTACCTGCTCTGGTTTGGAAGGTGCGCATTTTAAAAGAAGAAAGCGCAGATGGATATAAACAACCATTTCGAGATCCATGTTTACTAAGTCAAAAAAAATAAAGGCATTGGTATTTTCTTATAAAACTCTCCGCATTTTTAACATCAAGTATCTTCTAGAAATAGTAAAATTTTCGCAGTGCTACTGGCTTTGGTTTGAAAGGTGGAAATTTTTAAAGAAGGCAGCGCATTAGGGTAACGCCATAAAGTTTGAGACTAATATGTTCTAAGCTGGGAAAAAATAGTGCCGTTGCTTTGATACAAAACTTTCAGTACTTTGACTTCAAGCGTCTTCTAAACACAACGAAAATTTAGAAATACTACCTGCTTTGGTTTGGAAGATGCAAATTTTTAAAGTTTAAAACAACCATTATGAGACCGATGTTTTGTAAGCTGAAAAAAATCGGAATTCTGGGACAATTTTATGAAACTTTCAGTCTTATTAGAGTTAAGTATCTTAGTAAAATTTGCAATTGCCACTTTTGAAGATGCGAATTTTTAAAGGAGGGAGTGCATTTGCGAAAAACTGTAAAGTTTGAGACTGAAGCTGGCATAAGTCAGGATTTTGCTACATTTTTTTAAAGCTTTCTGCATATTTGCAGCTAAGTGACTTTTAACGATAATGAACATTTCAAATTGCTTCCTGATTTAGTTTGAAAGATTAAAGAGGACAGTGCAGTCAAATGATGTTGTAAAATTAGGATTTAAGGCGATTTTCACTAAACTGTTTGACGCTTTATCGTAAAGTGGCTTCTAAATCCAGCAGAAAGATTATTATTATTAGATTATTATATTGGATTACTTTGGAATTTTGTATTGGAGTTCTCTTTCAGAGCAAAATCACTACAACTGCATATTTAAAACGTTTTATTATTTACTGCTGAAACATACTTAATAATAACTTAGGAATATTATAATGTACAATATTTCCATACTATATGACACATACTGCTACATGCTGGTTTTCATTTCGATATTGGCTTTTCCATTTTCCTCAAACGGTTGTTTCGGTTTTTCCGCATTGTACTCTGGATTGTTCCACAGTTGCTCCTTTCCCGTCCCGAACAGCAAGTAAACCAAATTAGTCACCCCGAACACACCGAAAGTGATCCAGAACACCAAACGCCATTGAGCAAGAGTGTGCTGAAATGTTCATATTTTCAATTATATTAATCAGGAATCCTTCAAATTTTTATTACGTCTTCTGTAAGCGCGCCAGCTAAATAAGGCGTAACAATTCCGCTGGTAGCACCAAGTCCATTGATGATGGCCATTAAAGTGCCGGCGAAATTTGGACTAAGATCCAGAGCATTCACTTTCATCCCACAGTAGTAACAGCCCATGAAAGCCATTGCAATGGTGAACATCCAGACCGCTAACATTCGGTCACAACCTGCATAGGAAGCTATCACGATAAAAACCGCTGGTCCAATGGAAGCTGAAAACGCTCAAGTTGGGTTCGCTGTTGTTGATTGTCTAGGAAGTATTTACCAACAGATGTGAAGAACTTGCGGGAAAACGTTAAGCTCATGATGTTACGTCTGACTAGAAAATCGCAGAACCATCCAGACATAATCGAGGTGAGCAACATGACTATATAAGGTACTGAAGACCAGGTGCCATTCTGGGACACGTTGAACTTGAGGACGTCTTTCATGTATTTGGGAAGATCGGTGATCATTGTGAAAAAGCCCCAATCGTGACCCACCTGAGTGATCACCAAAGCCCACATGGGAACAGATGTTAAGATCGATTTCCATGGAACATCGAGTTTAACATTGGATACATTAGCTGGAAGGAATTTCGGAATGACAAAAATGTGGTGAAAAAACCCGCGCTTGGACACTGTTTTTACCGTTCAGCTTTAATTTTTGATTCCAAACGTTGAAGAATTATTAGTACTCGTTTGGACGAACTTACATAATTCTTTCTCCAAGTACTCCTTTTCTTTATCACTGATAAATGGATGACTGCTGGGATCCGAATAGCATAAAAGCACCCACAAAATGAACCATAATATTGCTAAAGCTCCGAAGAAGTAAAACACTGAAGCCCAATCCTTTGTGCGTCTGATTAGTTCTCCACTTAAAGCATTGCTCAGAATCGTACCTAAAATTGAACAGATTAATTTTGAAAAATTGATATTTAGTGGCAAACTTCAATTATTTCCAATTGTTTCAACTAGACGCTTCACTTTTTCAAAACAAATTTTGCCCAAACACAACAACAAAATAGCGGTTACAGGCACAAATTTCCAATCATTTTATGCAATTCTTTATCGGTTAGTGCGTCGATGCAAAATCTTCGTGCTTCAGGTAAAGTTTCTACAGGGTATCAAATGAAACATTGCAAAGTTAGCTAAAGTTCCACATGTTCTGCATCGGACAATAATTTTTTTTTGTATTTCAACACCAGATGCATTTAGGTAGACACTATATTTCGAAAAAAGTTATTGAATTTTTCGAGTATCTCGTTTATTTACAGATTGGAATAAAAAAATAAACTTTTTGGCTTTCCGATAATAATTTTTTTCTCTTGAACAACTCTTCATTTCAAAATCCAGGGATGATTTTGAAGTTACAATTCAGTCGAATTGAAAAAAAAATTAGATATTTTCAATAAATAAAATCTAACTCTGATTTGGGTCATTTTTCAAGCAGAATTTGTGTTAAATCCTCTATGAAGTTCGAGCTTCAACATGAGTTGTATGCAAGAGCGGAAAAGTTCTCTTTGCAGGACAAAAAAGTTGATTTTTGAAGACTACTATTGATTTGACTTTAAACTTTTAGTTTTCAGATACAAAAACCTGTTTTTGTCCAACTAGAAAGCATACCGAACGTCGCAAAAATTTGCATTTTTGCATTTGCCGCCGCGTTGCATTTATTTATATTTCAAATAAGTATTTCGACTATAATAATTAACGTCTTACTCACCAAATTGACTACCAGAAAACACAATACTTCCGATCGTTGCACGTTCCTTTAGTGGCACCCATTTAGCAAGAAGGGCTGTTAAAGCGGGGTATGTGGTTCCCTAAAGAATTTAACTTTGAAAAATGTAAATTTTATATATAAAACTTCATTTTTTCTTTCTTCCAAATTCCCTATTCAAGGCCTTAAAAAATATCAAGATTAACATGACTCTAAACATTGCTTGATTTGTTCAAAGCCTTCGTAAGATAAAAGTTTTATATTTACAGAGTGAGTAATTATATGCGCCGCGCAATATTGTTTATCCAAGTTTAAATTGTATTGTACTGTTTCCATTGCCGGCAATAAGCCAAAATGCATCAAATCCTCAGTTTATGCCAGTAAATCTTTTTCATTGCACTCTCGTGCCATAAATTTGATTATTAGTAGCTGAGTAAAATGAAGCAAGGAAATTTTTAGAAAAGCTAGATTTAGCGACTCTGATTTAAAATGCTTTCACACTTACTTCGCCAAGTCCTTCAATGATTCTCAATGCTACTAAAACTTTCCAATTACCGCCACTCCATATAATAACCCAAGGCGTAATTAAGGTAAATAGAGCAGTGGATAAAACCCCCAGACCCAGAGAGTATTTTCCTCCGAACTTTTCTGCCAATATTCCTCCAGGTAGATGGGTTAAAACGTATCCCCAATAGAAGGCGCTCAGTATTAATCCTTGGGTTTTTTCGTCCCAGTCGTATAAAGTACTTTGATCCTGCAATGAGACAAAAGAAATATTTTTATAAAGTTCAGGATTTGCAAGTGCATTTGCCATAAGTGAGGAAGGTCTATGCGAAGATGCAGCTGATTAACAGAAAAATGTGACAAGGGAAGAATTGAAGGTGAAAATGTAATCTTGCAAGTGCAGTTTTAAAAGTGAGAAAACGAGTGAAATTGTGGTTGTAATAGTTTTTGTGTGAAATCTTGGATATGAACATTATGCAAGCACGCGTGTGAAAATTTGTTCACACACTTTTTTAACATAGAAGCACATTTTTGTATTTGAATAGAATTATTAGTTAAAAAATTGAACAGATAATACAAGAAATATAAATTTGTATTTCTTTAGCAAAGTCACAAAGGATTGCTTTTCGCAATCACTTTGGAAGTTGCGTCTGAACTAGAGACTTTAAAAGAAGTCCAAACGAAGCTTTTAGTGTTGCTTCGGAGCTTGTACCGTATAAAACGCAAGAGAAATGCAAGGTATCAACGGTGCAGAAAAAAATACAATAACACTGACGAGAAATTATTATTAAAACATTTCAATAAATTAAGCGAAAACACTTTTGGTGCTATTGATCTATGTCGATCGAGTGTTAAAGTGTGTTAAAAAAAGTATTTTTCTGATACCTTTGCAAATAACGCTAAAACGGTGGCAGATGCGAAAAAATCTAGGAGACCAAAAAGATTTCAAATTGAAAACGGAATGTGAACCTATCTATTCTCGTGGCGCATCAAAGAAAAGTTTGAAGCGGTAAAAGAATCATGACTCTAGAAAAAAATAATTAAAATTAGATCATATTTGGGAATTTAGTTAAGTATCTATGTTTCAAATTTGAATCAAATATGTGAATAACTCTAAGAGCTTTAAGGAAAACAAATTACGCACTTGAAACTTTGACTTAAAAAAATAGACATAAAATTGAAGTACTTTTGAATTAACTTACTCTGATTGCACTATTTGTCTGATTAGAACCAACAGGAGTGCACGCTTCTGGATCGTAATATTCGGTAGCATTGATCGGAATGACCATTTCTGTGATGGCCAGCGACAGTGAAACCCTCATAGTATAGGCATTGACGATGGCAAAAAAGCCCATAATGCCCAAAATGTACCTTTGAGGCAACAGAAAACCTGCAAAAATCGTTGTATAGGAAGAACTTTGTTTGCATTTTTATGGTATGAAAAAGTTAACAATCGGTTTTAACATTTGCATAAATAACACCTTATTTGAGGCGATTCCTTAACTTGATGATTGCCTGAAATTCTTGCCAAATGTAGTTACTAACATTGAAATCAGCCTCCGCATTAAACACGCTTTATTATAAACAACTCTTACTAATTATTGAAAATGTGGCAAAATTAATTAGCAGGAGGAAGTCATTAAATTTCCCTGGAACTTCGTTTAAGAAATATAAATTAGGGTTTATAAAAATATTGCTGGCCATTTGTCTTAAACACCATCCATATTGTTAATGCTTATATAACTAAATTGTTTGCTAAAGAATCGCCAAAAAACCCATGCCCGTTTTACGAACAGTTGTTCGGAATGAACAAAAAATCAATTTTATTGTTTCGCTTTGTCCTTGATTAATACAAGGAAATATGATAATGATGTCTGAAAATTTCCGTCTTTGTTTGCTGATGCCTATTACAATGACAAGCTTATTTGATTTTATTGTGTCTGGTTAAGTACATTATATTGACATATTTTAAATAAGAGCTTAGAGGCATATTTTATTGAGCGATGGTTTGATTAATGGCTTAATGGATTAACCAAATTCTATTCAATTTGAGTGGTTTTCGCATTTTTGCATTTTTTGGGAATATAATCTGCATTTATGCATTTAGATTACCGCAGTAAATGTCGTATAGTGCATCAATTTACAGATGGATGTTAATATCCTTAATTACGAACTAAACTGGGGTAAACATACACATAATGTATATGTGCTATATAATATAACATCTTTAACCCAGATAACATCTATATAACCCATATAACCCAGATAACATCTTTAACTTGAGCGGACGTTTTGCAGAAAACATGCTAATATGAATCGAGATAATTTGCTAGAAAGTGTTATTTATATGAAATTGATGCAATGATGGAAAATACTGTTCGGATTTTTTTAAAACCGGTTTGTTTTTGTGTACTTTTATCTTTAGTGAATATTGTCCGACCCAAATTGGAGCTGTTGAAGATGAAACTAATTGTTTATTTAAGAAATGTCCATATTATTTTATCGAAGGTTTTCTTCATTATCAAGATTATATTTGCGAAAGAAACGTTTACAGTTATGTGTTAATTTACAAATCTGCTAATGTAGTTCATTTTAGATTCCTTCTAGGTTTATGTGCATAGAGCACAAGATAACTTGTAAAACTTGGATATTTTGAATAATTTAAATTTTTCACCGAAGAAGAAATTATTACAAAACTAACAAAGCAAAGCAAATAATTATGAACAGATAGCACGAATTCTAGAGGAAGAGTTATATAATGATTCTGCTGCAGCTTAGTGCAAGTTTCTTATCAAAGCTTATGGAACCTGGGAAAATTCGAAAAAACATATTTTAGGGGCGACACGCATTTCCCGCAAAGCAAAAGCAACAAATTGGGTTACTGATGCGAAAAACTATATTGCGGTCAGCACAAAACTGTTCAGGATATCGCAAATTATCCATTTTTGAGAATTGATCTCTCTAAAACGGCTGTTTTTCGTTCTTTTATTGATGAATTCGGAAATTAATTTTTCGAGATCCGAAACATACGAAACAAGACGTGTTCGTGTGGATTTGAAAAGAAATAAATTCGCAAAGTTTTCTATCTTTCTATACGCAACAGAACCTATATTTTCATGAATCCCTTGACAAAATTAGAAGTTTAACGAAAGTAAAAAAAAATGGTTTTGTAATAAGGTTTTTGCTGGCTTTTAATACAATTAGTCAAGGTGTCTTTGCAAGAAATCAAAATATCACTTGACATTTTAATCATATTTTACTTCTCATAAATATTCCTAACATATTTTCATTTTCTCCTGAATCATCATGTATAGTCGGTTAAACTCTTAAGATTCTGTCGATTCTTTCAACCAAAAATTTAATTTTTACATGTGCTCTTTTTAGGCCCAATTAATTTGATTTAAAGAATTCCTGAATATGCATATACATACATGATTCGTCCTATTCTATGTACAATTATTTGAGTCTTTAATAGGGAAGATATCGTCAGCTAAAAATCGAAAAAATTAAAAATGTTTCAAAACTTTAGGTGATTTTGGTTAGCAATATGCGCGTTGCTTTCCTCGGTTCTTGACGATAAAAATACAAGAAAAAAATCTTGTTGATAAGAATATTACCTACATATTTTTACAGTCGATGATTGTTTTTGGTCAATTTGAACCGATTGCAGGAAATGTTCTTGAAAAGTTTTTTATCTCGTTGGTAAGTGGAAACTTAAAAATTCGAGAGTATAAGGCACTGTGTTAAAAAATTCACAAAACATTGGTTTTTTAAAATAAATTACTGTTTCTAGTGCAAAAATAAATTTACGTTCGAAAAATAATCATTTTGCCATTTGATATGCTGGAAAACATCAACAGAAAAAGTTTAGAAAACTAGACATCTGTAAATAAGCTTAATTACCCTATGAGTAAATATAAAAAATTACTTACATTTTGAAAGTGTTAGCCGCCATCCGTTCAACATAGTTTTGCAAAAATCGCACACCAAATATCAATGGAAAACGAATGTTAGGTAGATCACATCGTTCAACACTTTTGTCGGTTGATCTTATCAGCGCAATTTTCCTCAAGAAACTAAATAAATTAATTGAGAAATAATGACTGAATGATTCAGGTAACTTGGTAAAGCGCGACAAAGTTTCCGCCAGCGGTTACAACTATGGTTTTTGATTTCTATTAATTTGCGTTGTTCATTACCCGATCGGTTTTAATTGCCTTTCGAAAAATACTGCTAGAATCTAAGGAATTCTGCACCTTTTCCCACCACAAAGCTGTGTTTTACGAACTTATTTGCATGATTAATTTGCTTAATTATTACCTTATTTCAGGTCGTGAGGATATGTTTTTACCATAAATCTATAATTAAAATTGCGCATTTCACTGTTATTAAAAAATGTAATAATAGTGGTTGTGGTTGTGGTTGTCATTTGAAAAATTGTTTGCTTTGCAAAGGTATATGAAGAGTAATGTGAGAAATTATAGTTTTTCAGGCTCAAATATGATTAATTTTTGTTGTATTATTATTTAAAATAATTTTAAAGGCACTACATAAAATAGGCCAATAGGTTCTGACTGATTTGTTTTTGATGTTTTTCTTTCGATTAAAAGCTTCCGGATCCAGAAGATTGAAGTAGCAATTATAAAAAGCCAGTGTCGCAACGTTTCGAAAACCTTTTAATCAAAGTCTGCGTATTTATAGCAATAACGGTGGTTGTTTCACTCAATAGCAATAAAAGTATCAAGTGCCAATTATCACTTTGAAGGTCTAAGCAAAAGCTAAATTTAAAAAATTTTGCGGTCAAAAATTGTGTTTTGAAATGTTGTTAGCAAATAAATCATATATATTTTTTAGCCATGTCGGGTTATTCCCAACCACTTCTTGCGGAGAGAATCAGTTTGGAGCAAGGAAAACCCATGCCCTATAAATATTCATTCTGGGTGGGCAAATCAAGAAGGAAAGCCCAATACGTGTGGCCTCAATTAAACATATTTTCATAACAACAATAAATATTTAATTAATTTTATTTTGAAATTTTTTACTCGTATACCACGAGTTGTGCACAAACTTTCAATGCTTTTGTCACGTAGATATTCGAATCAAAGAAATCCGATAACAATATAAATGTTGATAAACTGTTTGGTAATATTTTTTTCAGTCATCGAGCAAGTCATTTCTGACCAGTTTGGAGGTCGCAGCATCTAAATTGATTAGCAACGGATAATAAAACAATAATTGAACTTGGAAATTATTTGAAAAATTCATGTAGAATTATATTGTCATAAAAATAAATTCTCGGCAGGCAGAATGGGTTTTAAGGAAATGCAACTATAAATTCTTGATTTTAAATAAATGCAGCTAAGCGCTTTTATTTATTAAGTCCACATTTGCTAGTTGGAAAATTAATTTAGAGCTTGTGTATATGTTAAGGGTCTCCGAAATAAAAACTTCCAGGTTTTATCTTTATTCGTGATTTCATAAGGAATCCGTTGATATATAGGACTTTTATTTCAAACTGAACCACTAAACCTAATTAAAATTAATTAAAATACTTCGTCGGTTAATATGACACATTTTCTCTTCTAGATATTGAACCGAGTACCTAATTTTACTGTCTTTTACATCGTTGGATAGATAATATTATGCTCTTTAAAATGGTGTGTAAGTCGTTTGAGGGGTGCCATTTGAAATTTAAAAGTTTGGGCATTTTAAAGTTGGGAGCGCAGGACTGACTGTGGGACTTAAATTAAAGATTTTTTCTTTACATGCGTATTTGTTGACGTAATTTTTGTTTAATTCTCCAAATTTGGAAGATAAGGACGATGTTTTTTTATTAAATGAAAGCCTTTTGTATTTTTTTGCAGATGTAAATCCTTTTTCTTACAAATTCATATCCACATATCTGCAGGCAACGAGTTTAAGTCTAATTGTTATAGGCTCTACTTTATATAATAATATAAACAATGACATTTATATCAAGCCTATAGAGATAAAACCACGATTCCTATGTTGACTTCATTATTTTTAATGAAAACAATGGAATCATGATTTTACAGTAATTAAATAATTAAAATCAGAGTCGTCTGCAGTTTGAAATTTAGACTCGTACAATTTTATGGCCTAAACGGAATTAGCGAACTGGAAAAACAGTATACCTACATCCGTGTCGGATGCTGTATAGTTATGTATGATGGAAATGTATTTTGTTATGTGATTGCTGCTTTGTATATATTTTAATTTTATCGCTTATGTAATGTATATATATATACATTTTTGTAAGTAATTATTTCCCAGTAACTTATTATTTCTTCAACAAAGCATTTTTGCAGTATTATTTCCATCCGCAAATTACTGTTCATCTTTTAAGCGTTTATTAGATAAAAATCGCACTGTAAAATGCGTTCAACTTGAATGTTCTTCTTTGAGCAGTTGATCGCCTATCAATTTTTTGACTGTTTAGTAAATAAAACCACTGAACACGGTATCCAAAGTATAATTAAGTTCCTACAAGTTACATAGACAACTTAGAAGTAAACTAGGTAAAACTAAATAATATGTACACTTTGTCTTGTAGCATTTGGCTATTTTCTTGCCAAAGCTTTGCAATGGTCAAATACTTTTATTAATACTGGCAGCATTACTTGTCTACACACAATCACTCATGTCGATGAGAGCAATTTTTAATTTTGTCAACATTTGCTTTTCAATGTAAGATTATCCGGACTATTTACATAACCCGCTTCAGCGGACTTTTCCTTCTCTTCCGCTGCGTTCCATGGTTGAACTTTGCCGCTTCCAAACACGACAAAAATCAAATTTGTCACTAGAAACACGCCAAATGCTATCCAGAACACTATTCGCCATTCAGCCAAAGTGTGCTGAAAATTTAACAATTTAAAATTCGGGTTATTAAACACTGGTTGCAATAGTTACATTTTCAGTCAAGGCTCCTACTAAATAGGGCACAATGATGCCTGTAAGTCCGCCAATCCCATTGACTATTGCCATAATAGTCCCAGCATAGTTTGGGCTGAGATCTAAAGCGTTGACTTTCATGCCGCAGTAGAAAGTGCCCATGAATCCCATGCCGATGGTGAACATTCCAACTGCAAGCATTCTGTTGCAGCCAACATAAGATGCAATCAATATAAACGCTGCAGGACCCATGGAAGCTGAAATATTCACAATTTTTTTAGTAGATTAGTACAACTTGAATTTGTTAATTTTCCTACCTAAAGTAGTGAAGAACTTCCGGGCCCGAGATATTTTCATGTAGCCCTTGTGTATCAGCCAGTCACAAATCCATCCAGAACTCATCGATACGATCCACATAAAAATGTAAGGCACTGATGACCAAATTCCGTTCTCTTTCACATTGAAATGAAGAACGTCTTTCATGTATTTGGGAAGATCGGTCACCATGGTGAAAAAGCCCCAATCATGTCCGATTTGGGCGACCACCAAAGCCCAGATTGGGGGCGATGTGAGGATGGATTTCCAAGGAATCACTTTGTCTCTGCTTGAAATGTTCGCTAAAACAAACTACATGTAGAACAGGAAAAGTAAAAAAATTATGAGCTCACAGATTTGCTCTCCCAAGTACGCCTTTTCTTTGTCGCTGATAAATGGGTGCGATTTGGGGTTTGGATAGCACAAGATTATCCAGAAAATAAACCACACTATTCCTACCGCTCCGAAGAAGTAGAAAGCAATTGCCCAGTCGTTAGTGGCCGATATTAGGGCGCCACTTACCGAATTACCAACCACAGTTCCTAAAAAAAAAACAATTTATTAGTGAAGATAGCATTTTTTACTATTTTTGTTGGTGTACTTTTTAATGCATTAATGTCATTTTGCTGCTCGTTTTAAACACCAAAGAAACTAAAACGCACTAAAACTAGAGCGACTATATTGAAGAAAGGGTGTATGATTGTTTATGTATATTTTATATTATTTTTTAAGTCCGGGAGTCGTAAATAATTAGAATTCTCGTTCCCTTTTTAATTCAATGCCTATTCATGTGTTTCCACAGTTTGTTTTTCAGAAGTAGGTAAGTTTTAAATTCCACATTATCTTGTCTGTTTCTTTATTTATTACGTTCTTTCTAATACCTTGCTTTCTGCTTTTATAATTATTTAAATCTGCATTAGCTCTAACTTTGACTTCGACTTTAGTTTAAATTATTTTTTTGTATTTAGCTTGTTTTGACATAAATACTTCCTCCAACAATAAAAATCATTCCTAAATAAAGCGAATTATTCCGTACAATTTTCGTTCGATTTTCCATTTAATAATCATGCAGAAATATTTTTTAACAGAACACATTTCTTCGGTTGCTTCAGATATTTTAATTTCTCTCTGCTCTGCGTTGTGTGTCAATTGATTTTAGGTTTTTTTAACTCTACTTTTACGTATACTTTCAATCTTTTATTGACTGCATTGTAATTGGTCCGAGGTTAAAGAAAATCGGCTATAATTTCTATTTTCTGTTTTTAAACTGTGAGTTTAACTCAAATTATTCATCACTCTTACTAGATAAGAAGCTAATAAAACCTACAAATTAGTAAAACACAATAAATAACGAATTTAATTAATTAATTAATTTAATATGCTTCTCCCACACGTTTTAGATGTCACATTTTTCATTTAGATTTTTAATTAACAAATAGAGAAATCACTATTAAGGAGTTTAAACAAACAACTCATGATTTGAAAGTAATTTTTTCTTATCGTCAAATGTGATTACACTATTGCGTTTTGCGCTCTTATTAAACTTAAATTAAATTTGTAATTTCATCATATAATTTGAAAATCGAAAATTTGTGCTCCAATTTTGCCACGATTTTAGCAATTTTGGACAAAGTTCGTTCTGAAACGACTGAACTAATCGATGCAATCATGTTAATTAGAGTGTTAGAAAAATGTCAAAACCACAAAAGTTTACTATGTTGAACACACTGTTGTTGCTTAAAATGGTTTCGAATTATTTATCCAAGTGCATCGAATCGGCTAATTATTAACGTCCTTGGCATTAACCTAGCTCTTTTAATTAGCAACTTGAAGAATAATGTTTAACTTAAAAAAAGCTTTTCTGCTCATTAGAAGTTTGTTTCTTTGTGGTTTAATGAACTTATTTCAACTACTTTGAAACCCAAAAAATATTATTATAACATTATAGTTGCCTATTTTGTAATGTTGTTCATGATAATTTTTTTTAAATTCATTTTGAGTTTGTTTAGCTTCCATTAATTATGTGTTTCTTACAACAATCGATTTTAATAAACATATTTCAGCATTTTCAACATTCATGTGATTCTTTCTCTTACATTCGTTCGAAATTCGAATTCTTCAAAATACAAATGCTTTTTCCAAAAATTGACTACTAAAAATATAAGAAAATATAAATTTTGAATCCAACAAGCAATTTTTTCTTGTAACACTTAACAGCCGTCTAAAAAACATTGAATAAATCAATCTTTCCGTAGATTATTGAAGCATATCTGAAAATGTTGCAAGACGTGATGTAAATTCAAGTTTCACTTGTAAAAATTGAAAAGTCGTTGTGTTTACTTCGATGTTCCAGAACGTTCGATGGACATTCACCCAATATATTTTCGCTATGGCAAATTAGCGACAAAAACTTTAACTACAGCGGTTATGTGAACGCAATACAACCAGAAGGATTAGAAAATATGAATAAAATTATTTTTACCCACCTATTTGGCTTCCAGCATAAACCAAAGTTCCAATTTTCGATCGTTCTTTTAAAGGCACCCAATTTGCCAGTAGAGTCGTCAAAGCAGGAAAAGTGGTGCCCTGAATAAAAATAAACTGATGTTAATAAAGTCCATAAAATACACTTTTTCAGCTTTGAGGACGTAAAAACATTATTGTTGTGTTAGAAAATACTCAACAGGCAAACAATTCATTTAATCTTAGGAAGTATTTAATTATTCATCGTAAAAACTGTTTAAGAGTAAATCAGAAAGTGTAAAAAAAATGTAAATGAATGTTGACCATTTCCAAACAATGTTATTAATAAAACCGCTTTATTATCTAAGGTCATTGTGTGGCGCAATTAGCAAAATGCTTTCAATGATGACAAACTGTAAACAAATATTTGGCACATAAAAAACTAATTATCTTCCAAGGGAATGTCGAATGAAGCATTATTCTATATGGATTGTTTGAAGACTTACCTCACCAAGACCTTCTAGTATTCTAACCACCACCAGTGAGACCCAACTTCCATTGGTCGCATATACTACAAACGGTGTGATAAAGGTGAAAATCGCTGTACACAACATGCCCAATCCTAAGGCATATTTTCCTCCAAAACGTTCAGCTATCATTCCTCCCGGAATATGGGTAATAACGTATCCCCAATAGAAGGAGCTGAGAATCAAACCCTGTTGCTTACTAGTCCATGGGTATAAATTTGCGGAAGACTAAAACAAAATTGTTAGTGAGGGTAGCATGAAAATGCCTTAATAATAAATCAAATCATACAGTATAAAAACTAGAAATTTGTGCTAAGTGTATTGGAATCAAATGTGTTGGAAAGTATATAAATTTATGTCTGCATATGAACAGAAATCGCTTTAATGCGCTTTTTGCGATCTGAGAATGTAATTGGTGTTTAAATCAATTGCCACTTACGGTAAATTCTACACATTATGCGATGTGGAGAAAGTGCAAGCTGCGTTTTTTATTCCCAACACAGTAGGTTCCTAATACAGGAGAGTTTTATTTTGTAGAAATGTAAGCAAAAATAGTTTGAAACCAGCAAAAAACGCCACTTTTGCTATCGTAACAATTGTTAACAAAATTTAATTTTCAACTAGATTTAGCTTAATTAAGGGACTTACTGATGTTCGAGGCGTCGTAGAATTTCCTTGAAATTCATATGGGCAAGTGGTGGAGTCGATGGTCTGATTGTGGTTAATGGATTGTACCATTTCAGTGATGGCTACAGATAAAACCACCCGCATGGTATACGCATTTACCACTGCTAAGAATCCCATAATGCCCAAAATGTATCTTTGTGGTATTAGGAAAACTAAAAAAAATGTTTAATTTAAAAAATAAAAAGCCAATTTGATTTCTAGTCGTACACTAGATTGAAAAATATTGTTTCATGTAACATTTAACGAAAAATGTGGATTGCGCCATGCCAGTAAAAACCTGCTTATATGCTTGGTCAATCGATTTCAGATTATAATTCTAGAAAAATCCTTGTTGCGAATTAAGAAAATTCATTCTATCGATTATTTGCACGGTAATTATTTTTTTGCATAAATTTCTATTTGCAAATTTCAACACAAAAATCCAATTCAATGTGAGTGAAAGCACGTCTGCATAATCAACGACTGTATCAATGCAAATTTAAATTAGTCTCTAACTGTTTATAAGTGCGTGTATTTTCAAACGGTTTTTAGCCAAATTTGCAATAAGAAAAGGTACTACTGTAAATGTAAAATTTTTATGTCTAGTTTATTCAAATCGTCTTCAATTGTATTAATTTTTTTTCAATTTGGTTTGCTATTGAGTGTTACACGATAGAAAAAATAAATAACTCTGTATTTAAATGATAAATAATAATAAAGTTAATGTCTGATTCTATTATCAATAATACTCAATCTATTTCTTCATCTTTATTTTTCGACGTAGTCAATCTTTGTTAAATAAGGTTTAAGAGACAAAACATAAAAAAATTMTTGTACATTGACCACAATATGAAAAATCATAGAGAAATTAAAATTGCTATTAMAAAAAWCTTTTCTAAAATTTGGAACGCGCGGTGTAAAATTTTCTTATATCAAAAAGAGCGCAATTGAAAATATTTATCGCCGTGTCCGAGCATTTTTCCAAAAAAAWAACTTTTATATTTACAGAATTTATTCTTRYTCTGTWMMTATAGGTACTTTTTCGCTTTGTATTTMRCTAATCATAAGAATYCAGTCTCTTGGAATTAATATTCTTGGAAAAAACCTCTAAATAATTTTTKTTCTTRTAATCAGCCAATAATGTTCCAATCTCMGAACGATTATTAGCATTGTTTAGCTGGGAGTAAAACAATCAATTTTCCATAGAATATAAAAACTTCTTTGCACGGACAATTTAATAGAATAAATAAATTGGTATTTGGTATGCATAAAAGCTTCAATGTTGCAAAATATGCATAACTTGCATCATAATTAGATCTGCGCGTAGAATTCGAAGGCTTTTAAACTATTTTAAATGTTTTAAAACAACTTTTTCTTTTGTGATTTTCCAGGATATTTTGCAGTAAAATAAGTTCATGATTAATTTCAACGCCAATTGTTTACTAATCAATAGTAAAATTGCGATTTTAATTTTAAAAAATCACAACAAAATATGGACTTGCATCTGTATGTTAGTAACTTAAAACAAACTGGTGGGCATTTAGAGCAGGAATTTTAAATTTGACCACCTTCTACAACAAAATGCACATAAAAACTAATATAGACTAACATGTATTTGAAATACGTTTGAGAAGTAAATCAATTTTATTGAAAGTTTCATGAAAATGTTGCTACATTCGTCGCTTTTACAATGAAGCAGATAAAAATCGTATAAAAAGTAAATCGATTTGCAAATGAAATTTCCTACTTTAAACTAACATTGTTTCAAAATTAAAGTACTTACGTTTGGATACCGCAAGCCTCCATCCTTCCAGCATTTTAATCGCACGAAAGTAAAAGACAATATCACAGAAAACTTAATCCAGTACTTTGCACCTACACTTTCTTCATAACCAAGTGCCGGATCTCGTCAAGCTTATGAGGTCTAAACCAATTTTCTGCACTCACAATTTCACAACTTACGAAAAATTTCAATAAAGTGATTTTAATTAGGTACTGCCTTACCAGCACTATACAGTCCGTACGACTGTAGTGAAATGACTGGAGTACTGCAGGTTTAATTTACTTATATCACTAGGTAAGGTCAATGCTTTGATTTTCGCCCGATTAATGTTGTTATTTATTTATTGAATTTCTGTCGTTAATTTAGTCTTTCTTTAAGTAGACCGGTGATTGCCCAAAAGCTTTTACCGTAAGCTTGAAATTAGACCTACTTTAATAAGCATGAAATAACCATTTGAATAGATTTTTATGTGATTTTAATTCTACTTGCTTGGTAATGTCGTTATTTGTTTTATTATTATTTGCTTTAAGTATCATCTTTTATTTATTGTATTTATCCTAATCTTTAGCTTCTAGTGTTTGATTTTAAGTTACTTTTAATACATTTAGGATTGTAGGTAAGTTTCAGAAGGAAATTGATTTAAGAAGGGATTGAACTGGATCATTTTCTCATGATAGTGTATCTTAAGACTCGTGTTCCATTCAAGTTTGCCTGTTTGTTGAGTAGCTGAGTTGTGATTCTTAATACCTGGCATTTTTACTTATCAAATAGAAGTAGACGTACTTTAAGGAGGTTTTTCCCGCACATCAAAGGAATTTTTCAAATGCGTGCTTTCGAAATTGATGTGGCTAAGGTATAATTTAAAAACTAACATTATTAACTACCTCACCCACGCATAAGTATTTGCATTTTACATTACTGTCGGTATGTGGTTTTGAAAAGCTGTTTTTAGATTAATACCGCGAACGTCGAATGTTCTAACTAATTATTTAAACAAAGATTTGCGCATTTTGCAGCAAATTTCTTTAATTCTTCGTTCAAACAGTTTCACGCATTCCACTTTGAATAAATACGGCTTGGCATTTAATATCGCTTTTTTAATCGAATTCACATGACATTTTTTTCCTTTTTAATACATCACAGTTCAGATGGTCCTATTTAAACTTTCAAATGGCACGAACATATTTATTTTACGCAATTCATGCCGATAACCATTTAAATTTACCAATGGATTTTACGTTCATTAGTAGATTCTGCAAAGACTCATGCCTTCAAATAATTTGTTCAACAAGCAGTAAATTTACTGGTTCATGATATAATAATAGTTCATAGAACCAGCATTATATTTTATATAAAGTTCCAATTTTTGTTTAAACATATATATGATTTTTTATATTATTTAATGTATATATTTTCGGAATTTTCAAATTACATAAATTAAAATAAATTAAATATCTAAGGTTGTTTAAATGGACTCCCATGATTGTTAATACATTCTTTCATGAATTGCAGTGCAAAACTTCTACCTGTCCATAGATGAACCTCTCTACTCATAGAACCTCTCCACGGAACTTATGATCATGTAGCATCATGATGCTACGATGTTTTTATAAATTTTTTTATATGTTTCCAAATATTCCACTCAGCGCTGATTAAATTGAAAACTAGTTAAAAACACATGTTTTCTAATTACAAATTAAATTTAAAGAAACTAATGCTAATGCAAAAACATAAGCTAAGGACACTATTTGGAAATGAGTAGACATTCTTTATATTTACTAATACCTATTAGGTATTACTAGAGGTTTTTTGAAAAATTCATACTAATATGTAATAAAGATGCACACGAAAGTTGACTTCGTCTGCTTATAACAGACAGTAATTGATAATTAGTGATATTTTATAATGATGACTTTCCTAACAATACGTAACAAAGTCAATGATGAATTATCTCATTGACGTACCACTTTGCCATAACTTCTGCCTTATTTAGCAGTGCATTAATTAGAAATCAAGAAATGTATCTACCACATTAACCATTGAGTGACGCTTATTTCCGTGATTTATGGCACTTAAAACCTGTTAACACTTATGTAATGCGGAAGATGAATGAGAGGTACTTTCGTTAAAAAAATAAAAATTTACGTTAACAAAATTTAGAAAAAATTATTGGTATTTACAGAATTAGATTACAAATCCTGGTTTGACCATTAAATGTTTATTAATTAATTAATTTTCATTTAGTAGTGGAAGTAAGGAGCCACGATTTTACACAAAAATATATATTAGCAATAAATTTGCAACATTCAGGTTTATTCTATAGATTGCTTGAAGTGTTTGTGGTGCCTGAAGTGTTTATGTTGCAAATTACTATTCGTCATAAGTTTTCATTAATACTGGAAATAACCATCTTTCCAGTCAACACCATTCTCGACTTGAATGACTAGTAAAATATTGCCATCTTGAAAGAAAAATGCACAACAAGCTTCCATAAAGAAACGTTTACCCTTATAAGGAACCATATTAGGCGATGGCCTACATTAGTAAACGATGTGACGTAAATTATTCATTTTAGATTATAAACAATGTTGCAAAATATTTTTTTATTGAAAATTCTTTGCAAAATTTAGAACGGTCGTAACTAGAAAAAATCTCATATGGAGTGCATGGTCTATGAAATCGATTATTATACAGAGTGAGGTAGAAAGAAGCATTTTTTAATGCTTTGATTAAGCAACTGTATATCGTTTCCTTTCAACTGGAACAATTTTTTCTTTTGCAGTAATTTGTGACTGTATGGATTTCATTGCCCAATTAATAAAACATAAGTGCGGAAAAACTGGGCAAACATTTGTAGTTTTAATTATGAAACTTAATACATCGAAGGTTTCATCCTACATGACCTGTAAGCAGCCTCATTTTTTTTATAGGTAGTTTTTTTGCAAAATCTACAATCAAGCTGCAGGAATCCGATATATCAATTCATATTGAGCAAATAATAGAATTAAGAGCGTTCAGAAAAATTAAAGGTAATATAATAAAGAAAGGCTCACGAAGAACCCAATAGAAGAAATAATTAATATAGAAGTTTTATGGAATGAATCCACACAGCAACTATACAAAGATCGAGTAAAGGCACACACAGAAAAATTATCAGTGCACGAAATGCACAGCGTAGACCAAAGCTGGGAAAAGATGCGAACGAATTTCGAAAATTTCGCAACTGAAGCTTAGGCACAAGAAAGGTTTGAAAGGAACAGCAACATCAGCAAAACAAAAGGAACAAAAATAAAGCTTAATTAGAACAGCAGGCAACAAAAACCCTTGGATCCCTGAAAATTCGAGAGAATACGAAAAGAAACGTTAGTGCGACAAACGAAGAACCACCATTGGGAACTTTCTCAAAAAAATCGAAGGGGACTTTAACGCAACCCAAAAACAAATATAGTGCACAATAATTCAACAACACAAAGAAACATAAGAACTCAACGCAATCAACACCATAAAAAAGAAGTATGGAAATCTAACAGATTTCTTTGAAAGAAACGTTCAAACCGGTCCAAATACACTGCAAATAAGACAAGAAATAGACGTTAGCTATTAGGAAGTAGAAATACTTTCGAAACAGAAAACGACCAGGGCAAGATGGAAAACCTAACGAGCTCCTAAAATATGGAGACCAAAAGTTTGCACTAGAACCAACTAAGCTTATACAAAAAAACTTTCACTCAGTACGGTATACTGATATGTTTCTTTCTACTGCGACCAAAAATTTGGCATTAATGTGTTTGAAAAACTGCGAATTTATGAATTTGCGTAGCAAATTTTTTTGAACAGCAATTTGTGGCTGTGTGCTTCACTGCCGAATTAATAGAACATCAGTTTGAAGAAACCCATGAAAAAGCGTCAATTTTAATTATGAAACTTCATACATCGAAGGTCTCATCATACATAACTCCTCAAGCTTAGCCGAAACTAATAAAATCTTAATTGCGCTGGATTATAATTGGACATTTGCCAGTGATAATATACAATGTTAACATTATCTTTAAGTAGGCAATGAAATACATATATTTCTGAACGATAAGTTGCTAATTGATTCAATGCCTTTGAATCATTTATTTGTACATATTCACTTGTATAGCAATTAGGATAAATAAACTCTAACAATTCGCAAATCTGCATTGGAAAAGACTTGGGGTTTCAATTAGTTGTCGTCATGTCACGCTGGTCGGCTTGAACATATTTAATATTCTTTAGGCAATCTGCTTATTTTGCTAATGGCTTTGCCTCCTGTTACATATTTATTGCAAATCAATCCTTTGATAGTGGAAAACAAATCGTAATAAACTTGTAAATAGGATCAAGTATATCCGGCTGCTAAATCAAACCCAACAGTTACAAAAGAAACAGGTTTGAGTCATCAAGAATTGTTTTAAATGAAAATAAAAATCGTTGTAATAGTGGCTGAATAAATTCTTGAAATGGATAAAAATCACTAAACCTAGTGAGATTGAGCCTTTCTTGGTCATTCTGGCCGCGAAACATGCAAACGATCAGGAAACGAGCAATATTTTCAATAAATGTGCCGCCTAATTAATTGTATGTTGAAATATTATTTTCATATAATATTGGCCTTCCTCCGATCATGTTAGGGATTGGTTATTAGTAGAAAATTGGTAAACACAAAAAACCACTTGCATTAACTGAACATTTTATGTTTTCGCAAAGCCTAATCTCAACTTAAGCGAGGAAACAATTCGGTATTCTTCACGACAAATTGCTAAGTATTTGAAGGTCCGGTCTCAAGTGTATCTCTTTAGTATGCAGATATCGTTCAGAGCCTTTGCAGATATTCCTTATGGCATCTAGAATACACTGGCCTTCAATATTTAAACCTCCTTGGCCTAGACTATGACTAAACTACTAAGGCCTGACATTGCTTTGTTATAGCCCAAATCGAGAGTAATTAGTGTTTCAAATCCCTGTTCAGTGCCAGCTAGAAGTAGTAAACTTTGCATTAAATAAAAAAAACAGCAACAAAATTCAGGAAACTGATAAAACCTGCTGAACCTCATCGTCATTGTTCGTCCAAAAATGTATGACTGGATATAATCGATTACTTTGGTCAACCAACGAAATTCGTTGATTATTTGGCAATACAATCACTGAACAATCAGTTTTCTTAATTACAGATTTGTGATTGGTTTTAATTTTTATATCAATCGATTTGATATATGTAGCTAATTGCTGCAACACTTTTTATGTGCCCAAAATGGAAATAAATTATGAGATAAAAAAACGAACATAAATTATGAACAAAATAACGCTTTTAGAGGAAATGCGCAATAAACTTCTAATCTTGTCACCGAGATTTAGCAAACTGATAAACAGGATTAGACACTTAGACACAGATTAGACTTAACTTACTTAAAGTAAATTGATTTGTTTACCTGTTAAGAATACTTACTAACTTACTTACGAATTAAGCAACTGGCTTACGTATTATTTGAATGAGAATAAATGTGAATTTTCAATCGCAATTTTATCATTAAATTAAAGAATACAATAAAGTTAACTGTTTAAAATTCGAATATTTACATACCCGTTGTGGTATTCTTATGACATTCTGGATCAAGACAGATGGCTAGAAGTCTGCTGGATTCACTTATGTCCTTTTCAGCAGTGATCTTTTTTCCTTGCTCACTGTAACACACCATTTTGAAATTTTGCAATTTTTTACATCGTCATATGTAAGCAAATTTGATCGAATGAGCGTTTCAAAATGGAAAAGAACATTTCCAAACACCGTGTAACAACGTGGAAATTTACCTAGATAACAATATAATTCCTTAAGCTGGCGCAAACCAGAAAATCCTTTGTTTGCAAGCAGATTAGTAATATGCGATTGATAAATAAGTATTAAATGTAGATACACATTGTTTTAGTGTGAATGGAGAATCAACCAAGAAACTTCTAAAAGTCATTCCTGGAAGCCTGACAAGTCAATTACAACCCTTAGATGAGCGATAAAACTTTTACAAATTTTATGGGAGAAGAGTGCAAGCGCGGATTCAGGGGGCGGTTATGTCGACTAACAATATTTTTTATTTTTTCATAGACAACAAAAGACAGAATTCTACTACATGACCACCCTGACTTAAAAGCTGGACCCGCCGCTGTTCATGCTTGAAATTTCTCTTTCTGAGTCAAAACTAGCCGATTTTCCTCACTGATGTTGTTATGACTGTAGTTTTCAATTCTCTATCCAACGATGTCAAAACGAATTCTGTGGCTCAAATGGTTCTGAAGAAACTTCGAAAAAAGCAGTGTCATGTTTGAGTCGATTTTGCACTAAAAAAACACGCAAATCTAAAGCTTCTTAAAAACAAGACTTTTTGAGAAAACTGCCAACATTTCCTTATAGATGGTTCAATTGCTAAAAAGGCCATTTGGTTTTCTCTGGGACGATGAAAAAATTAGCGATCTTGCCCATTTCACTTCCAAGAAATGACCGAAAACGGCACGGAAAACATGAAATTTTTGGCATAATCTTGCACCTAATTGTCTCATATTAAAATTTCGCTTTCTGGGTAAAAACTACTCGAATTGCCCCACTCAACTTGTGGCATGACTGAATCGAATTTTCAATTCTCTATCCAACGATGCCAAAGCGAATTCTGTGGCTCGAATGGTTCTTGAGAAACTTCGAAAAAAGCAGCGTCATGTTCAAGTGGAATTTGCAACTCAAAACAAACACGCAAATCTAAAACTTCTTGAAATCAAGCGTTTTTTGAGAAAACTGCCAATGAAACTGATCCATGGTTCACTTTCTAAAAAGGCCATTTAGTTCACTCTAGAATGCTGTAAAAATGAGCGTTTTTGCTCATTTTGCTTCCGAGAAATGAGCAAAAACGGGATGGAAAACATGAAATTTTTTGGTACATAATCTTGCACCTGCGTGTCGCATATTTAAATTTCGCAAAGTGGAATAACTGGAAGGAATTTTACAAGTTTGCTCCTGTTATGAATAGAAATGATGTTAACGATAAAATTGCTAAAAAATATGATTCAAAAGCAACAATAAAGTAAATATTTCTAAAAATTATCTATTTGTATATTTATGTCGCAAGTTGCCGTAATTTTTTATGTATGAACCGTTAACTTCTTCATCGAATCTAACGTTAAGAAATGCAATCATAAAGCATCTATTGCACATTGTTGAAAGGAAACATCCAACAAAAAATGGTTCATCCAAAAATCGAAGTTTTTATGTGTTTTGAGGTCAATCGGTTTTTGTCCCATGCAATTTCCCACACGACGATTGAAATCAGAATGAAGTACAAATGATCCCAAAAAACAGATAACTTTAATGAAATTTCGGATACTTCTACGTTTTAACCGAACAAAGAAAAATTATACTCACTTATCTATAGTATCGATAATGATAACATCAAAGTCTATGGATGGTAATTCGTAAAGTTCGACCTAAATTTTTGTTCAAGTGCAATACGAATCTGCTATTTTCATCAAAACAATGAACGCAAATTATGCTATCAAAGTAAAAAAGATGGTTGTTTTATTGAATTTTAATGAAATTTTAATTTGAAAAACCGCAATTCTGTTCAGAATAACGAGTTTTATCATTCGCCTAGTTTTACGTCAATTCATCGGCAGAAACAACATCAGTTTTACGTGAGCGAAAAGCGAAAAATTTTGCATTTTTAATTATTTTTCCAATAATATAATGGATCATCAGTGCGTAAATGTAGAGCAAATTAATACAAAAAAGTGCTTCTTTATGATCATCGCTTCTGATCGGAAAATGGCAGTTATGATTCATTCGATTAAAAAGACGGTTTTATTTCACTAACAATTACCGAGATGCCCGATTAAATAATAACAATTAATTATTTTTTAAGTCAATCATGTTTGTGTCATTGAACATTAGATAAAATTTTCGAAAGTGACCAAAACATTTTTTGAAGTACGAGGTCGATTTAAAAACTACTGATAAAATCTCCTACATGGATGTCTAAAGTTTAAATTCTCTTGAAGATTTTCGCTCAGTTTCTTGTAAATAAGTGTATTTTTCCATTTCCCATCATTCTCAATTCCCATCTTTAAGTCTCATCAAAGTTTCCAAAATGGTCAACAACAACAATTTCCCAACTAATTAATAGCAGCAAACGCAAATAAATCGATAATTGGTTTAACAAACATTAATAAATCTCCTATCGGCCTTAACCAGAGGCCGACAATTCCTGCAAAGGTCTTCGCGCACAGGTAAAACAGCTGTCTGTACAAAGCCGCTCTGACAACAATGAGACAGTTTTAATTAAAGTGAGTAGCCCTTACGTGGTTCTGAAAAGGACAGAACGACAACAAATCGCACATGCCATCCATGCGTGCCCTTTGAAAGAGGACGAGGCGAACCCTAAAAGCTTTGGCCAGACAAGGAACGACAATCTGCTAATTCGGCTCCCTACTTAAGCTGATCGACGCAGTGCGCAAGCTTTAGAGATAGAATCGATTCCAGTTCAGTAGGGTGGTTGAGCATCCCTTAGTTTAGCACGTAGAAGCGAGCAGAATCGACTTCACAACTTCTAAGCTTTTGGCGCCGGTTTTTGTTTGCCCCACAATTCACAGCAGCGTTCGTGTGAAGTGACTTAAATCGGGTAAGAAATATTGACAGCATTTATTTAAGACATTTTCAATGTGCCGGTATTGAAGTTTCCGCTATCAGTAAGTTGGAGTTTCAGGGAAATCCTATTGATCGACCGTTTTTCCGCATATTGTAAGCAAGCGTATCGCTTAAGCTCACAAGCTGAATCGCAAATTGTTTAGCGCGCAATGCATTGAACAAACCATGCGCCAGAAAATGAGAAATCGATAGCAATTGGACAGAGTCAGATTGATATCCAAAGGGTAGTTTTATTTGGGGTTGCAATTTTCCCGAAAGTTCAACTACAGATTAGTTAATGATAATGCGCAATTTATATCTAATATTGAAGAAAATGTAGTTTTGGGTTGAAGCAGGTTCAACGGGGAAAAATCTTGCCTTGTGCATAAAATTTGCGCAGTTTGCACTTTCACATCACCACGTGCTTCTATCCACAAAACATTATGTTTTGTGGATAGATATTTATATATACAAAATTATGTTTTAACTGCGAACAATTTAGGATTCGATTCACAAAAATCCATGACAGTTAATTTTTACAAAACTGTGGACATTTTTTTTAACGACGCTCATTAATTGAGGTTAGCTGGCACGTTAAGTCAGATCGCATCTTATTTATTTCACTTTAGAATTTCAGTGAATTGCAAAGTTGTCCGTTATTTTACTCAATGTCCTATTATTATTCATTTTTTTGCTTATCATTAGTCATTGTTCATTCATTTAAGCATTTATTGGTATTTATGAAAGCTCTGCCAGACATGCGCATCTATGAAAAACGGATAAAGTCAAGTGTTTCAAAATGCGTTTTCCTCTTATTTGGTCATAATTAAAGCGTTTCGTTTGGATCAATTTTTTTTATGTATAACTCTTTATCTTTAAGTGATCAAGGTGAGCAAACTGATCCAAATTTGAACTGATTTTTCGAAAAAAATGAGTTGAACACAGCGTTTACATGAAAGAATTCAATTTCTTTGAACGCAAAACGTTTTATACAATTTTTACCTAAATGTGCCCCCTTAGTCTTTTATCGCTGCTATGGAGAATCCAAGACGTCCGTATCCATTTGCCTCCATTGGTCTGACAATCCGAGATGGTTTAGAAGCGCCAAAAAATTAGACTTTTGGGCGATTTCTTTGAGACTTTTAGCATCTACAGAGTGAAGCATCTACTAAAGACTCAAGAAAATTTCAAATTGCTGCGTGTGTGAGTTTGGCAGTGGCGAATTTTTAAAGAAGAAAACACAGTTGAGAAAGAACATCCTTTTGACACCAACTTTTCTAAATAAAATAAAAGGATTAAAAGGAATATTACGGGCAATGTTTATGAAACTTTCTACATCTATCAAGCCAGTTGCCTTCTAAAGATGGTGAAAATTTTATATTTTTGTTTTAGTATGTAGGACTCGAATTTTCTAAAAAACGCGCATTTTTTTTTAAAACCATTCGTTTTGAAAACGGTACTTACTAAGCTAGTAAAAATCAGAATTCCAAACGATTACTCTAAAACTTTGAACATCTGCGGACCAAAACGTCTTCTGAAGATTATGAATCTTTTGAGACCGGCATTTACAAAGCTGGAACAAATCTGTATTTAGAGCGATGTTTATCAGACTTGTTGCACCTGTATAACCCAATGTTTTCTAAACACAGTGCAAATTTAAAAGTGTTATTTGCTTTAGTCTGGAAGTTGCGAATTTTTATAGGGGAAAGCGCAGTTGAGTCAAATCGTCTATTTGATCAATACTTAATGAGATGGCAAAAATGCAGATTCTAATATTTTTCGATAAAACTTTCAGCATCTATTACGCCAAGTATCATCTGAAGACAGTTAAAACTTTGATTTGCTATTTGCTTTTTTTTTGGGAGACAGGATTTTTTTCGCGAGAAACAGTAGTTTTGTTAAGACATACAATTTGAGACCGCCATTTACAAATCTGGCAAAATTTTGTATTAAGAGCGATGGCTACGAAACTTGTTACATATGTAGAGCCAGATATCTTCTAAACAGGGTAAAAATTTATTATTTTTATTAATTATTACTTCCTTTATTGTGAAAGATGCGAATTTTTAAAGAGGAGAGCCCAGTTAAGTCAACACGTCAATTTTTAGATCGACATTTAATTGGCTAGCGAAAATAAAGGCTCTGGTCAATTTTGCTAAAACTTTCAGTATGTATAGAGCCAAGTGTTGTCTGAAATAGCTAAAACTGCAAAGTTGCTACTGCCTTAGATTGGGAGGCGGAATGTTGAAAAGAAAGAGCGCGGTTGTGCAAAAACATTCATAAATGCCGTTTGGTTCAGTCCAGGTTTTTTCGTCACTAATTTTTTATTTGTGTTTCTTGTTGATTTTTTGCACGATGCAAAATGTTTTCGAATGTAAGTGGCTTAATATCAAGCATGTTTTCCTTTAAAAAGCCGAAAATTGGAATTTTTGCAGCAAAAAACGATCAAAAATCTGAATTAATTCCGGAAAAGCAGCTCTTATGATAAAAAGCTACGCAAATTCAAAAACCTAAAAGCAAATAGTGGCAAAATTTCAAGAAAACCTCTGAAATTAACTTTTATTGTAACACTCAGTATTTCTGAAAAATGTTTTCGGTTTTCAAAAGCTCCTTGTACCTAACAAAACATGTTCCGATTGAAAAGCGAAATAAATAAACGCCGCACAAGCCCCTCTTCGCCTCGGAACCGTTACCCTACTTGCAAATTTATACCGAGTGTTAAATCGTCTGTCGAATTCGAATAGTTCTTTTCACCCGCACTCAGCAAATATCATATAAGTCGTTCTCGAAAGTTGAAGGGAGTCGAAAGTATAAAAATCCCTCCAGCTTACCAGCAATTAATAAATATTAATATTATTAACAAACCTTAACACCCGGTGTTTTCTTAAGCAAGGATATTTCAAATATTATTTAACAAGCAAACTTATATTATTTTATTTGTACATTTCGCTTGTAAAGTTTTGGCTTTGGCAACTGAATCACTCTGTACATTACCTTTGCTCTTTGTCTAAGGCTTAAAACCGTTAAGGTACAGGACGGGTAAAAAGGCAGGTGCACTTGTATAATTATGGATATTGACTTGATAATGTCGGTTTTAGCGACAGAGTTTGTATTAAAAATACTTATTGTAAGCAATGACTGAAACTGCTTAAGTTTACCAATAATTTAGATCAGAATACAGAGAACAATCAGTCAGTTTTTGAAGCCTTTTCTAATTTATTAAATTGTTTATTTAATTTATTTGTTTTATCATATAATATTAGAATATGCATTATGTCGTTAATGATTTTCGCAGTACAAATAACTATTAAAAATTAAAGGGACTTCACCACTTCAGTGATCTTTTAAAGTAACCGCGTAATTGATCATAATTCTATCTGATTTTTATAGATCACTTTCTATAGTAATTTACTTTGATCTTTTCTTAATTGCAAAGTTAACACAAAATAGTAAATTGTTTCTCAGCCTCAAGGTATTTAACAACGTAAGAAGTAACGCAAATACCTACTAATGAAATCAAATAAAAAAAAATGAAGAGCAAAATTCTTTACTTGTCTTAACTATTCGGATGAAATAATTATAGCCAATAAACCGTTAGGGCTCTTTATGAGATTTATCACTTTCAACATCTTTTGTGATTTTTTATTTGTAATGTGAAATTTGCCAATAAAATACATAAATACAGAAAAATAAAAAAATTAAATTGCGGCCCCTAAAAAGTCAGGAAAGGTGTCACGAGATTTCAGAATGGCAATTTTATCAGGCAAACTAATTCACACGCAATATTTCCTTGCAGGGAAAACGTTTTTCTTTTTAATTTGAAGTGCAGTCAATTTTTCGCTTTGGATTTATTAACATGCTTTGATCAGTTCGTTTTGCAAAAACCGTTTGAAGACCAAACTTAAAATGTTCGTTTTTTCAACAAAGCCCTTTAACTTTCTTAATATCGATATTTCAATTTTTCGTTGTGGTAATAAATTGTATTTCTCAAAATGGAAGTAATGAGGAAATAAACAAAAAGTAAAAAAATCTTTTGTGGAAAATGGAGCCTAATTTCTTAAAAAATGAATTTAAAATTGAAAAACCTATTGATTAAAAAAAAACTTCTTTTCTTTTCTTAAAAAAAAAACACCTTTTTTGTTTCTCTGTTTTGGCGATGTTTAATAAAAATAATAAAATTAAAGAAATCATTAACCATCTGCTGGAAAATGTATTTCCTCCTTCAGTTCTAAAAAAACAGGATAAATAACAGTTTTAATTCTAAATTTGCAAATCTCGCAAATTTCGCTTTGAATGTGAAAAAATCATCTTGGATGTCGATGAGACTCGATAAGATCCTGATAGTGTCGCCTGGATCGACTGCATCCTCATCAATCTCTATAGAACATTTAAAGTGGAAGCGTAATCTCTCTCGCCTAATAAACTGGACAATATATTTCTGGTGAGAATTTTGGTTTTTCAATAAACCACTTGAACTCATTTTCTAAAGCGTATTTCAAACGCTGCGTTTTAGTCTTTTTCATCTTCCTCGCTTATGGGATTCATGTTTCAACCAAAGCCAATTGTTTGAGACTTTATTCCCAATCACTCTCTTTGATTATTGTCTTTTTACTATTTGACCTTAGCACTTTTTTGAATATAACTTCCTTAGTTTGATCAGCCTGTTGAAGTTTCTGCTCCAAGAGCAAAGCAAAATTTTGCTCTAGTTTCAATAGAATGATCGGTACTCGACCGTACTATTTATTGGCTCCTAAAAGTCCACCTTCTTTTAAAGTGATCATGGAGTGTGAGCTAGTAGGTAGGGGCAATCTGGACGCTCTTCTAGTACATATTTCTAGTATCTCCTTTAGGGCTCTTAAGGGTTTCCCGGTACAGTTTTTGCTTCTTTCACTTTTATTTTGTAGCCTTTTTTTTGGTCGAAAAAATTACATATTGTGGCAAGAGCGTAGAACAAGGAGAGTATTATTTTTACACCAAATAGACACCCTTCTGAAGACGCATCGTATACAAACACAAATATTTCCCACTCTTCAAAGTTATAAAAATTCTAAACTGGTGGAATCGATAAATTCTTCCTGGAATGGCCAAAAAGTAACATACATGTGTATGCTATGAATTAAACGAAAAAGCGAGAAATGCGCGAGCAGATGAGTTTAACCAAAGCCAAAGATAAGTAATAAATGCTGGTTTGTATTCAGCTGTAGTGGACGTCAAAACCGGCACATTTTCGAATCAACTAACCTACATAAAAAGTTTCAGTTAAATTGCAAAGTACACTTAAAACAAAACACTGAAGTTGTTTACTTAAAACCGCATTTGTTCCGTTACATGTAGCAAATGGATTTCAAAGGAGCACCAAAGAAGCGAACTACCAATTTTCGAGAGGACGAAACCAAGCTACTGATTCAACTCTGGGGAAGCCCCACGGTCCAAAACAGATTATACCTCACACATCGGAAGGCGCCGGTAATGCGGCTGATTGCTGCCAATATGGAAAAACATGGATTCTATCGCACACCGGAAGAAATCAAAACTAGAATCAGAAATTTGAAATGTTTGTACCATAAAATTTTGAAAACAAAGGACAATAAGGGTGCACCAGTGGGGACTGATGATCTAGATTGGCCCCATTTCAAAGCTATGGACGATATTTTGAGCAAAAAAGATGCGCTGCGGCAGGATTTGGTGTACAACCACAATTTACTCAGCGAAGTTAATGCGGAAGTTAAAAAGGAATTTGAGCAGATCGATATTTCGGAAGACTACGAAACCAATGCTTCTTCGATAAGTAATGGGTAAGTTTGAAATCAATTTCTCTGATGAAGCCCGGAATTGTTTGAACACCTCTAGAACACCTTGATGCTTTTACAGTATAAATATTTATAATTTTATACACATAGTAGTCCGGCCAAAGTTGCCAGCAGTTACAATCAAACTTTCGATGGGTTGTCAAAGGCTCGTCAAAACTTTCTTATATCTGCAACTTTCTTTCCCACTTAGTTCTCTTGCTAGTGAAATGATTGTTAACCAAGTAGTTGATATATGCGAAACGTAAGTGCAAATTCTCCTTCAAAACCTCCTCGCAAAACTCCTTTCCAGATCCGATGATGAATTTGAGGAAAACTCTTCACCGTTGCCAGCTACTATCACTCCCACGATCATAGAAGACGACGACAAAGTACTACCCATAGCAGAATTGAGTCCGCAGCCGGTAGCAACAACATCGCCAGCTTCAGCTGCACCTCCAGCGCTATTTCCTCGGATTAAGGTGGCTCAAAATCTGCAAAGCAAACCTCCACGTCTCGCGCCGAAAACACCCAACCAGAAGCAGAATATTCAGATGCCTCAAATTCAGGCTGTCCATACAGTTGCGCCCACTTTGCAAACGAATGCGCCCACTATTCCCACGCAGCTGCAAGCGTCCATTTCTCCAAACAGTATTGGGAAGGGCAATGCCATGCCCTTTCCATTGCTGATTTTAAATGGGATGCAACCAGGCCAAAACAGAACTAATGGGTTTTCGCAGAAAACGATTCCCATTAATATGAACAGTAATCCTTCTGCAACAGCTTTCAACTCAGGTATGTTTGGGAATTATTGCAGTTCCTTACTTTGGGGAGATAAAAATTGAAATTTGAGCAAAAAAATATCCAGATGCACTGGACGTAGGGGGGGAAATTTCGGTTTAATCAGAGCGCTATCAGTATTTTTTATTATTTTTTGAATTAATTCACAATCATATACAGAATGATACATGTTTGCTTTAAAATAGAGTCTTAAAGCCCGCCTATGAAAAAGTGTATCACTCTGTATTTATACAGCCTGAAATAATTTTCGTTAGAATGACGTTGTTTTTTAGTATTTAAATTGTTTAATTGTTATTTAATAACATATTTCCGTAGGGTTTATAAATTTTGTCCCCATTTTAAGACTTTTTGATAATACATTTAGGAATGTTTTCGTCAGGAAGAAATTCCGATAGACCACGGCTTCAAAGCCCGAAAAACATTCCTAAATGTAATCTGACCGGCCCTGAAAGCCTTTTTGATAATAATTTTTGAATAGCATTTGAGGGTTCAGTTCTGCTTCATATGATTTTGCCATGTAAAATATGCGTAAATTTCCCAAGGAGTTTTTTAGCAAATTTGTCAAAATAATTTTCATTCCTATGCTTAACTTTTAAACATACAAAGTTTTAGAGTTTAGACGAAGGATCAAATAATATGGCGGATTTTTTTGAAAATAGTTTATTGACTCAGTTGTGCCAAGAAATATTTTCTTTTTATCACTTGAAATTAAATTAGTGCAATTTAACGTTTATTTTAAGTAACTTTATGGGGAATAAATGATCGGCAGATTTTCTTCAAGTTGGCTCGTAGTACGTTCAAAAAAAGGCGCCCGTTTTATATGTTCTTGTATCATTCAATAGATAAATAGACCTTTAGAAAAAGCCTCCAAAAAAATTGTATAAATTATGTTACATTTTCTAAACTTTATTAATCGTATTTAGGACTATTTCGAAGTCCTATTTATTGGGGATTTTTTAAAATGTTCTCTAACGCTGCAAGAATTCTTGCTAAATGACAATAATTTTGGAACACTCCCAGTTTGATAAATATAAAATGAAAATTTATGATCTTTTTCGTTACTGTGCATCTGCAATTTTTTCAGATGTATGTAACATCCTGAAGGAAATGCTTGACATCCAAAAAGAAAACCTGGTAATTGAGAAAAAACGCTTAGAGGTGGAAACACAGAAGTTAGACTACGAACGATCCGTCGGGCATCAATTTCTCAGCATGTTTTCCACATTCCAGCACCTTATCCCAAATGGCATGAACGCGAATTGTGATACCCGGTAAGTTCCATAGAGCAAAATAATTAACTTGAATTAAAAAACAATATTATAAATAAAAACACACAAATATTTTCCTCCAATGCGTAAATTTATATCAAACTATTAAGATTTTTTCAAATTTTGACAAAACATTTTTCAATTGAGTGTCCTGAAATGAAAAAAAGTTTGTGTTTTAGACAAAATACGGAGAGCGAATCGATTGACACGAAAGATTTTGCTGAACATCCGAAATTTCAAAACGATAATTCATCGGCGACAAAACGGCCGGCTGAAGAGCCTCTTTCACCATTAAGAAGCAATAAAATTTCCAAAGAAACTGTGATCAATGGAATAACAAAATATATGCAAGAATGTAACGTTCCCAGCAAAGAAACCAACAGTATTACGGTTAAATAAAGGAAAATGTCAACCACTCTTTATTGCATGTTGCAGCTGATATATTTTGTACGTACGATAGCATTAAGAATAAATGTGTTTTCTTCGGGAAATTGCATGTTTTTTAAAAAGGTTGACAATTTTTTTGTTTGAAATCGCTCGGTGCTTCAATTACAAATTTTATTCGGCAGTTCACAATCTGGTGCCTCTGTACAGCATATTTTAACATGATTTGTTTTGTTATTTATCGATCAGCAAAAAAGAATCCAAATATCAATAATAATACTTCAATGAAAATTATCAGAGTTGTTTTCTTTGTAGTGAAAACGTATACGATTTGTTGTTGTAGTTGTAAGATTTTTCGACATTCCATTTAGTATTAATTTGTATTGCTAAGCAACGTTTATTTATTATTTAGTTTATTTATCAATTCTTTGTGTCATTTTATGTAGTAAAAATTTGCTCAATTTGTTTGTTTCATTGACTTTACCCCAAAAAAATCTATACAACCAAAGGGCTGGCGCTGCATTAAATGCAGAGAAATTTCCACATAAATCGGCGGTTTGTTTTAGCATGACAAGGGGGAGCGGAGTGTAGCGGGGGCGTTTGAAGGAGCGCATAGAGCACGATCGTGGAGACCAGATTAAATAATAATTCAGCGGTAGCGTAAGCCGGAAGGTTTTTCTACTTGGAATGTTCGCGTTTTTTTTTATTTGTTAGAATGCAGATCCAGAACATTTCGTATTATATTGGCGTTTTATACTTTACACTACATTATACGTTTGAGTTAAAGTAATATATGAATAAAACTTTTGCACCAAATATTTTTCGGATCCATTAATATTTTCATACTAACTACTTTTTTTCACAAGTTTCTTCTTAATTGCAACGGCACTAAAATTTTATTAATTTATAAATTCGTCATTAATGCATAATTGAGAGCATTGGTTTTCAATGTACACAAATAAAACGATCTGTTAATGACTTAATTAATTTTATGAAAAATTAATGTTTAGGAAAATGAAAAAGTTTATAATAATTAAAGGAACTCTCCTAGGTTCAGTCACTTTGAAGCAATACACGTTGTATACGCAAGAAAGCTCCTGAAAATATGGCAAAGGGAAAAACTCGAATAGATCGTAAGTGTCTGATTTTGTCAACTTTTTTATATATTTAAGCATCTCAAATTCTCTCAGAAGTGGAGCAAGGGTTTAAATATTTTTTTTATTATTATTTTCAAGTTTAGAAATCGTTCAGTTTGAGCAGAGATATTTTGCTGAGTTTTTTGTTTGTTTCGTTCATTAATTAAATATAAAAAAAAATTGATTTTTTTAAAATAAAACTGATAAATTTTCTATCGTACGTACAAATCTTGCGGCAAATAAAGCGATATTTATATTTTAAGTGATCTTACAAATCTATTAAAGTGATCTATTAAAGTAGATAGAGATTTTCAGGTTTACTATTTCCACTGCTAACTGATGTGCTTGAAATATCCAACCGGATGTTGAGAATAGGAATCTACGGCTTATTAGCTAATATATTAGTTATGTTAATAGTCCAGGTAGCATATTGCTTGAAAGTGCATACTAAGGCATGCTGGATTAAATATGGATTATTTATTTGTGCATGCTTAGATGTATGTATTGATAGTTTATACTGGAGAAAAATGAGTTTTCAATATATATAGGGTATTCCGAATCAATTTTAATCTTTATTTTTAGCTTCTTTCTACTCGTGTTACATTTCTTCTGACCTCGAAAGCTTTTTCTAAGATCAGAAACATTATCAGCTCAGAAATAGTTTGGGACCTGGACCTAACAGATCAAGCCATTTACCGGAAGATTATTATCAAACGAACCATTTTCAAACGCCACCTTATGGCCCAGTTTTTCTTCGTATTCTGGTTATGCATATCGACAATATACGAATTATGTATGCAGTTGGATGAATACTCAGTAATTGCGGAATATATAAGTGAGTGTGCAAACGATGAATTTTTTGAAGAGACTAGCAAATTTTGGAAAAAGGGTTTTGATAATATATTTGTTTATTATGTTTGTGCAATTGGTTCATTTGGTATCATTTTTAGAACAGCACTACCCATTTTTTCTCATACCGTCGATCTGGTTCTACGTAGTAGAAACCATTGTATCAAGTTTTGTTATTGCATTATTTCCAATGTATCTGTACTATTGTTGCGAACTAGTAGAAATGCAAGTTCATATAATGAGTTTGCACATTAAAGAATTTAGAGAGCAGTTGAACTTACACGGTGGGAGCAGCAGTTTTGTCGAAAATGGATTAAAGAAAATTATTAAGCAACATCATAATTTGTTAAGGTACGTTTCTAAATATATAAGAAAAGTTTACGAACTTTCGTATACCCTGCATTGAATAAAATGGACTGGGAGTTTCAATATAAAGCGATAAATTTTATCTGGAATATTGATAAAAGGTTGTAACTGCCCGACCGAAAAGCAACAAAAATACTCAAATTGCTGATCTGATTTACAGCAAAATTTCGAGTTTTTAAGCCCCCATATATACATTTTGTTTTGCTATGGATACCTATTTAATCACGAGTAAGATTTATCGCACTTTTTTTATAAATTTCATAAATTTTTGGTAATAATTAATTTAATTGATTGACATTTTTTTAATTTCTTTTGTTGCAGGTGTAATGCGTTAATGCGCAAACATATGCAAACGGCGCAGATTATTATATATTGTACGATGTTTCCTTGTACAATATGTATAACAATAATGTTATTTTCAGTAAGTTTATTCAATGTCGTTTATTTTTATTCTATTTTCTCTTGCTTCGACACGCACCTCAAATTTTTTGCAATAAAATACTGTTTTTAATGCAAATTATATAGGGAAAGGTAACATGTAAATTTTCATGTTTTATTAACAACTAAAAATACAACAAAGAGTATTGAATAATTAAGTAAATTAAACAACGACAGAGACAGATTCGACATATGCTTTAAATATGGCACTTTATCTACATTATTTTACATCTTATGACCAAAATCCTCCTTATAAAATCTATTTTTTTAAATTTGTTGTTTCAGAACCGAGTTTCATGGTTCTTAAAATGCGGTGCACTTTTGGTACATTTTTATATAGGCGTTTCGGTATATCACAAAGGACAACTATCACATAATTTGGTAAATATAAGTACCTTAAGAGAGGAATTAATTTTTATCGATACCCTATAGCATCAACGTACAGGGTGTCCCGTAAGCACATGATCAAAGAATCAAAAGGAGTTGAAAGTTACGCAATAACTTTTATTCGGACGGATGGTGGACATTCTTCAGAAAAATTATGATTTTTTAAATATCTGAAAAGTAGTAGGTACGATCTTTCTCTTTGAGCAAGTGAGGAATTTTTAAGTGCCTTGGTACAAAAACTATCAGAACTTTTTATTTGAAGCTGCAATCAACTGATTTTTTTTCAGTTGATCCACTAATCTTTTCTGGACATTTTTGGTCTCTTTGTAAAATCTTGTAGCATTCATAGCTTATGCGCAAAATAATTGTTGGTTTTTGTTAATAAAACTTGGGTCAGATAATCTTTTGAGCCAAAGAGTGTGCTTACGGGACATTCTGTATATAATGTATTTCAGATAGAATCAATGTGCTTTCAATTATACGACCTGGAATGGTACACGTGGGACGTGAGCAATATGAAAACTTTCTTGCTCTTAATAACAAACACTCCCAAGCAATTGAACTGGGGCGCAATTACTCAGACCAAGGCAATTAACTACGAAAGTTTCAACGAAGTAAGGGGTGTTTTGCTCGGATTTTTAGCAGAAAAACTACTTTTTTAATCAAAGCATAAAAAAATTGGAAGAAAACGCCATTAATTGGTTATTTTATTTGCAGGTTGTGAAAGTGTTCTACACGATATACAATTTCATCAGAACATGTAAACATTAATGACTTAATCAAAATCGCATTAGAAGCTGCAGTATAACAAGTAGAAGCAATCGATAAATGTATTAATTGACTATAAAAATCACTATTAAAAATCTATATAATCTGAAGTATCAAATCTAGTTTCTTCTATATAACGTTTCGCTTGCATCTGCGGCAACTATTCATGGCTTTGCGATTAAGAAACACTTAGTGAGAAAAAAAGGCTGCAAATATTTGGAATTTTTGATAGTTTATTGTACATCGGACTATACGCATATGATTAACTAAATCCATCCCTGCTCTTCAATTAGAAAATTAATCCTAACCGTCTGCCCTCTTGCACAGTTTGGGATTTAAGGGATGTCGTCGCCTATCGTACGTAATTTTCGGTTTAATCGACCTCAGACTATCAAAAGCCGTTTCTTCTATCGTCGGCATCATCAGCGACGGTCTACCTCTACATATTCTATCGCTTCGTTCAGTTCGGACTTGTAAAAAGGGGTTTCGTACTCGCAGACTGGATCTTCTGCCCAAACGGCGCATTTCTTTAGCTTCTTCAATACGTGTCCGGATCCGTTTTATTTGCCTTGCACGTTTCTTGTATTCGGCCATCACATGCTGCAATTCACCTGCCAACACCTGCAATTATTTCTTTTTTGAAACTGCTGATGAGGTTCTCTGGCTTATAAGCCTTCGAGGAAAGTAGTTTATTCTTATGCATCTGAAGATGCAAGCCCGAGGGCCTAAAAACCCGAAAAATTCGAAGTGAACTAAGATTGATTCAAAGGCAACCACAAACTCGAAAAAAGAAAGTTAAAAGATTCCACACTTAGAAAGCCTTCTTCGTTCTTCCGAACCGGGGAAAAATGTTTTTAAGTAAAGCGGTGGGAGAAATGCGACTTAGAATCTATGCAGGCGAATCGCCATTAGATTGACGATATTCTGCAACTCAAAGCGTTTTAAAAAAATTATAAAGGCACCACAAAAGTAAAATTTCCCAGATGAGAAAATCGACGTTCCTCTACAAAGATTTGTTAGGCATAAATGCGACTTTAAAGGCGTACTGGCGAAATAAAATTTGCATCATTTTATTTATTTTTGCAAAAATTTACCAACACTTCTCCACAGATTGTACAAAAAAGAAAATATTCCCATTGTTACAATCTAACTCAATCTATAAAACTGCGGTAAAACTGCTTTTCTGTGCGGACCAGGTGGTGAGGAATGCGACATTCAAAATTCGATACTCAAAGAATGCTCTAGTGCTAAAAAAATCTCAAAAACTGAAGCATTAAATAGCGAAAAGAAAACTTTTCTCAAAGGTTGGAATCGTGACTTTTCTGTACAAAATGTAAAAAAAACTGGGCTTTTAAGTCGCACGGTCAAATGAGCGCAAGAAAAATTCTGGTTCCTTTTGCACAGCTGCAACTTCCAATTCAAACAATTTCCCCAAAGCGACTGCGAAAGCTTCAAAAATGAAAATTTTAATGGAATATTGAATAAATGAAATAAGTTCATTAGTAAAATGGCTCTTTCTCTAAAAAATTGTAAAACTTTTGAAGCTCTAAATGTTCCAGTTAGTGAGAAATGTGAAAACGGGATTAGACTTGTTGGTCTTTATATTGAATCGATTACTGCAAATTTCAAGCAAGATACAAAAGCATTTTTTTTCAAGAAACTGATTACTTCTTGCAAACACAGACTGATCAATCCTCATTCTCATAACCCACACCCAAAAGCTGTGGATTGTGGACTATTATTTCCTCGTACCTTGGCATCAACCAACCCTTGCTCCATATCTCGCAGCAAAGTCGGTTGGGTCAAAAGTCCAGAATCATCCCGCATTTGGTTGATACCATGCCTGCAGTAGTCCCTATGCTGCTTGGTTAGATTTAATGTGCTGCGAACATTGAAAAATTCCCATTCCGTTTCGTTGCGTTCCTCCATCAAATCGGCCACGTCGTTTTGCAGAGCTGAAGATTTTTCTCTTAAATGCGCCAAAATCTGCCACATTTTTCGCATTAGTTTCTTGCAACTGCACCTTTGAAAATTGCCTTGATCTACCTGAATCGTGCTCGCGCACTTTGCTCTCAATCTTGATAGTTCTTCATCGCGTTCCTCCAGTTTATCTCCGTAGCTTTGGTTCATCACTTTCAGCTGCTCGAAGTCGGCCAAAAGAAAACCTGGAGCGATTTCATTCAGGTCGGCAATAGCATCCAGTTTCTCTTGCACCATTTGCTTCAACTTGATAAAAGTCAGCCGCATTGAACTGACTTGGCCCATCTGGATCAACTGGCGATGAATTAACCGATCAACCAGCTGAAGACAATAACAGCAGATGTTGGTGATTTTCTAGAAAAGCTCCTAAGGCCTACCTTATCAGGAATGGCATTACCGGTTTTGGTATTGATGAGACCATAACCGATCTCTCCTTCTCTAGCTTGGATTTTTTTAAACATGAGGCTGAGTTCCTTAAATTTAGTTTCCCGTTGAATTTTAGTGATGGCAATTTCTTGACTAATCCGGTCCCTTTCGCTGGCTACAAAGTCGATTAACTCCCCATAAGCCTCCAACTTTCGATTGTATTTGTTCTGTTGGTCGAAGGACCAGTCTGTTTCCTTTGTCACGTAATCCATCTAAGAAAAACCTGTTTTTGTTTTTCTCACCGCATTTTAATAAAAACTAACGAAAATAATGGAAGCATCAGCCAAAAGGCATTCAAGAATGATGAATACCTAAAGAGAATCAAGTGGAGTGTGGCTTAAGCATCACTTTTTTCAAAGCAAAACTAGATTAATTCATTTAAATTGCTGCTGCAAATGCTTTTCAGATACAAATAATAAACCACTTAGATCCCCAACATACCTTTTTTCGTTTAAAATACATTGCTAACTTTTTTTGAATAACAAAATTGCGGGTCTTCCGTTCATTGATTTCTTCTATGGCCTGGTCGTGTCGGGCATAATATGGTTCCCGGTCCAGAACGGGCTTAATTTCCTCCTGTTCCTCTATGGATTGTTCTTCCTCTTCGACCGTTTCTGCATTAAATCGTCATGGTTATCGAAATAGTCAACACTTTCCTGGTCTCCCTACCATCGAAGAAAATGGGAGCATCTCCTCCCATGTCGAATCCCGTCAGATCATCATCAGCTTCAGATAAACCTCTAATTCTAGGCCCTAATTCGGCATAACTCATTGTGTCTCTTCTATGCACATGTCGCACGCTGCTAATTGTACCTCTAGCGGAACTTCGACCTAATATTTAAACAGAGTAAAATTGAAATATAACTGAAAAATCTAAAATTAATTGACGATTAATACTCACTCAACGGCTCGTGTTGATCCCAATCTATAAACATATTTTTTAAATCACTAATTGCATTTTTTATTCCTTCACATTGCTGCTGTTGATTTGAGAGACAAATATATTTTTTGGATACGGCATGAGTAAGCTTTCATGCAAATAGAAGCGAACGGGAAATGGTAATTTAACTTAAATTTTGTATGAATTAATTATTTAACTCGGTGTGGTCTCCCAATGTCTATAATTAAATAAGTTACCTTTTCTGTACTCATCGAACGATGATTTTCTGGATGCTGTCCTGCTGCTTGCCCTACTTGGACGACTGTCATGAAACCTTTGACAAAAAAATATTGTTTAAATTTTCCAATTAAAATATGCAGTTTGAAACCGAAATTAATTAAATTTGGTTTAAACTAAAAAAATGGAGAATCTGTACACACCTGGGCATCAAGGAAGGTCTAATAGCTAAGGTTGACCTGTTCATGGGTGCCTGGAGGTCGGGAATTTGTTGAGATTCGCTAGCATCTAAATAAACAAAAAGATAAAGTTAAAAAATAATTTGATTTTATGCTAAGGTATTTGAGAAATTAGTGGCACTTTCGAAAAAATGTTCCAGAAGTTTCGTTGAAATCTGCTTCGAAAGTAAACTTTTTCTACATTTTAATAATTTGCCAACAAGGTGTGGGCGAAACAACTATTAAAGGATGAAGCTATTCTTGGTTTATTTTCAGTCTTCGGGTGCTTGAATTTTGTCTTAATACTTTTATACTGAGTAATTTAAAAAAATTTCGAATTTTCATGCAAATATTCAAAATTATGAAACCAGTTAAAAAAGTATTAATGAATGAATGAATGAATGAATAATTTTGTTATCAAATCCTCAAAAATTTTGATTCGTTCCTTTAATAAATACCAATTTGCAACTAGAACTGCCTATAATTGACATTATTTTCGTCAAATCTCATATTAATTACATTTCTTCAGATAATTCTGTTCTGCACTTCAATTTTTTATGTTGAATTTACTACCTCTGACTTGTATAGATTCTCTTGTTATATCACTTTTAGCCTCAACTGAATCTTCGATTTTTCTTTCTTCCGCTTCAGTAGTAGTTTCTTCCAAAGCTACCACAGCCTCTTCCGGGCTGATTGAAGTCCTTGAAGCGTTTTCTGAAATTTCCGTCATACCGGAAATCTGAAAGTGATTTATTAAAAAAATCCCGATTCGAATCAGATGTTGACTTTAGTGGCACGAAACTAAAGAAAAACTAGGTTTAATTAAAAATGCTTTCAAGAAATGCGGAAGTTTGATCGATAGGAAAACGCTATTGCGCTGAAATTATTACGTAGTGTTTTTGTTGTAAAAAACACATAAAAAGCGTAAAATGTTTTTTTAAATTCCTATGTTTGTCACACTTTACCTCTTCTACCACATTTTGCTTTTCTGCCTCTTCAGGTGCAGCTGCTGCAAAAAAACCACCCTCGAGATTATCATCGTTTTTTTCCTTTTCTGGTTCTTCAGTTTCCGGATTTTTCTCTTCTGGTGCTTCCTGTTCCAAATCAATGTTGTCGTCTGGTTGCGCCTCAACCTTCGAAAGTTGAATGTGATATATGAAAAATATAATGAAAAAAAATTAGCTAATTTATCACTTTTTGAGTGAGTTCTTTCTCCGCCACATCTGGCAAAGATGGTTTTGGGGATACTTCGAACTCATTCGTTTCTACATCATCGACCGTTACGCAATACTCTTCCGTCGCGATTTCATTGGAGAATTGTTCCTTATTCGGTTGTTCTCCCGTACTATGCGAGTCGCTCATACTATTAAAAAAAATTAAAAGTGTTTTCTATAAAACTCTCATGTAAAATGACAACATTTCACAGTGACGTTCACTTCTAGGTATGGCTTGTGGTAAACGCATATGTGAAGCGAAAAATAATAATTTTAAATTCTCTTCCAGGTTTGATAAAAAGATACGGTTTTTCATGCAATAAAAATTGTATATAATTTGAGGCATTTTTGAGTGATTTCTCTTTTTTCGAGCAAATGTCGGGAACACGCATTTTCGGTCAAAAATCGAAGTATTACTTGCGAACTTTTGTCTAGCTCAATGAAATGTTTGTTCCATAAGAAGCTCACCGATACGAATATTTTGTAAGCTTCCGTTCAGAATTAAACATCGCCGGTTACTTTAAAATAGAAGCGTCTACTGTGTGTGTATGTGTATTCCTCAGCCAGCTCAATACCTCGATTGTCTCTGATCAAAACAATACAGAAATGTTTTCATTTTAAGGTGCTTTACATTTTTCGCAAAATTGGACCGCAACTCCTTTTGTCAAAAATAAATTTTCATACGTATGTTTTTTGAGCTCAGCGAGTAGTTTTATTAGTATTTTATTAGTAGATATCCTTATCGAAGAATAGACATGGAAGTTCTTCAGTATGCAGATATTGTAGATTAAATCTCAAATTCGATCAAAATCCGCTAAAAATGGACCATTATTTACGGTTTCCGGATCAGAAGGGGCTAGTAAGTCTACTTTTGAGCTGGTGGCACTCTTTTTTCATGAGACAAAAATGGGATAGTATTTGAGCCGTTTAGAGCAATTAAGAGATAGCGATATTAACTTAAGAAAACGAGAAAAATACTGCTTTATAACTTTTTTAAGTCAGAAGTTCCATTTTTGAGAAAATATGTTGTTTTAGTTTAGAAGCTTCCGAATATGCATATTTAGGAGATTTGAGTTCAGAACCATAATTTTCAATTGTTTCGCATTAGAAGGGTTCAGCTTATTTGATCCTGAGCTCCAAAGACTCCAAAGATAAGGTTAAAAACCTTAATGCAAAACACCTTCCAAACTGTCCGGTTTGGAAAACAACAATCAAATAACATTAAATTTGAAACGTGGATTTTCTACATATTTACGATATATTTTAAATTTGAATTAATATTTAAAACACTTCAAAAATGCAACGGACAAAACACTCATATGTGCAAGTTTGCCTCGATTTTCCGAACCCTGTATTTATCATGGTTTGGAAAACACCTTATTAATTAAGTAAAGTGACCGCAAATTGTCAGCTAAATCAGGCAGTTAAAAATTGATTTAATTTTATTGCGCAAATGTGCTTTTTATTTGGTTGTTCAACCGGCGCCGACCTCGCCAGTTAATTATTATGATTCCCAAGTGGTAATCGAGACTGATAACAGTGAGATAACACTGACTTTCACTATTTAAATTATCATAAACATCTAGCAAGAGTTACGCACGCAGTGGATCCACCATGGCGCGCTTCAAAGTGTTAATTTCCAACCCCACAGTGCCAGAAATCGCCCATAATCTACTGAAAGAGAAGTGCGATGTAATTATCAGTCCTGGTTTCGATAAGGCTTCGATAATATCGGTAATTTCCGGAGTAGATGCGCTTCTTTGGAGCGGCGGAGTTCCGCTAGACAAGCAAGTGCTGACGCAGCTGGACCTCGAGTGAAAGTTATCGGGTTGATGTCTGCAGGATACAATCACGTCGATTTGCAAGAAGTTAAAGCAAAAGGGATCAAAATTGGAAACACTCCTGTGGTACTTAACAATGCTGTGGCTGATAAGGCCGTTTTGCTGGCTTTAGGCGCAGCTCAAAGAGTAACGGAAGGACGCTGGCATATTGAAAGAGGCACATGGAACAGTTTCTTCGATGCCCAATGGATGTTGGGGCAAGACATTTCCGGTTGGTTTTACCTACAAACCGTTAATCACCTAATATAAAGCGTCTTTTAGGTTCTACAGTGGGAATAATCGGCTTCGGAGGCATCGGCCAGGCGATTGCTCGAAGACTCAAAGCCTTCGATATATGCAAGCTGCTTTACACGGGACACAAAGAGAAGCCAGAAGCACAGCAACTAGGAGCAACATTTGTGGATCAGGACACTCTGGTTAAGAACAGCGACTTTATTTTCTTGGCAGCTCCACTCTCAGAAGAAACCAGAGAAATGTGCAACGAAGATTTTTTTTGTAAGATGAAGAAAACAGGCGTTTTAATCAACATTAGTCGGGGGCAGTTGGTCGACCAACCAGCTCTAATAAAAGCGCTTAAGAATGGGGAAATATTCGCTGCTGGCTTAGATGTGACGACTCCTGAACCATTGAATACAGACAGCGAACTCCTGAAGCTCCCCAATGTGTTTCTAACGCCGCACTTGGGAAGCGCTACTAAAAAAACTCGAAACGCAATGGCTGAGCTCGCGGCTAAGAATATTTTGCTGGGATTAGCTGACCAACCGCTTTTGAGTCCAGTGATTTTGTAATTTTTCTTATAGTTTTATGTCTTAATTCAAATAAGACGTGCCGATAATTAATGCTGAATTGTGCGTGCTTGAAATTTGTCTTAAAGCTTTTTATACTGTGTAAATAAAATATTTTAAATTACTTCTAAAACCAGTTAAAAAGTATTAAATTAAAACTATTTGCACTACTTGAAATACGAATAAACAAAAGGGATAATTTCAAAAGTGATTTTGTTATCAAATCCTCAAAAATCTTGATTTGTTCCTTTAATAAATACCAACTATAATTTACATTATTTTCCTCAAATCTCATATTAATTACATTTCTTCAGATAATTCTGTTCTGAACTTAATTTTTTCTGTTGAATTTACTACTTCTGACTTTCATGGATCCTCTTGTTATACCACTTTTAGCCTCAACTGATTGATATGCAATAATTTTGCATAAAAAAATCGCTAATTTACCACTTTTTGAGTGATTTCTTTCTCCGCCACATCTGGAAAAGATGGTTTTGGGGATGCTTCGAACTGATTCGCTTCTACATCATCGACCGTTACGAAATACTCTTCCGTAGTGATTTCATGGGAAAATTGTTCCTTATTCGGTTGTTCTCCCGTACTATGCGAGTCGCTCATACTATTAAAACAAATTAAAAGTGTTTTCTACAAAACTCATGTAAAATGGCAAAATTTCAGTGACGTTCATGTCTAGGTATGGCGTGTGGTAAACGCATATGTGAAGCGAAAAATAATAATTTTAAATTGTTCTCCAGGTTTGATAAAAATATATTGTTTTTTCATGCAATACAAATCGTATAGAATTTAAGGCATTTTTCAGCGATTTTACTTTTTTCGAGCAAATGTCGAGAAGACGCATTTTCGGTCAAAAATAGAAGTATTACTTGCGAATTTTTGTCTAGCTCAATGAAATGTTTGTAGCATAACAAGCTCACCGATACGAATATTTTGTAAGTTTCCGTTCAGAATTAAACATCGCCGGTTATTTTAAAATAGAAGCGTCTACTGTGTGTGTATGTGTATTCCTCAGCCTCCAATACCTCGACTGTTTCTGATTAAAATATTAGAAAACTGTTTTTATTTTAAGGTGTTTTACATTTTTCGCAAAATTAGACCGGAATTCCTTCGGTCAAAGATAAATTTTAATACGTATGTTTTTTAAGCTCAGCGAGTGGTTTTAGACATCCTGATCGAAGAATAGACATGGAAGTTCTTCAGTATGCAGATACTGTAGATTAAATCTCAAATTCGATCAAAATCCGCTAAAAATGGACCATTATTTACGGTTTCCGGCTCAGAAGGGGCTAGCAAGACTACTTTTGAGCTCGTAGTACTCTTTTTTCATGCGACGAAAATGGGATAGTAAGTATGTGAGCCATTTAGAGCAATTAAGGGAGAGCGATATTAACTTAAGAAAACAACAAAAACACTGCCTTACATTTTTTTAAAGTCAGAAGTTCTACTTTTGAGAAAATATTTTTTTTAGTTCAGAAGCTTCCGAATATGCATATTTAGGAGATCTGAATCCAGAACCTTAATTTTCAATTGTTTCGCAATAGGTTCAGCTTATTTGGTCCTGAGCTCCAAAGACTCCAAAGATAAGATTAAAAAAAATAAGTAGAGTTCAAAAGTTTCAGATAAAAATTATGTTATATGAATCGGCGCAACAGTGGCATCCAAAAGTGTTTAATCTGGCTGTATAATTTCATTGCGCACATTTGTTTTTTATTGGGTTGTTTGACCGGCGGCGACCTCGACGGTTAATTATTATAATTTTCAAGTGGTAATTGAGACTGATAACGATGAGATAACACTCACTTTCGTTTTTTAATTTATCATAAATATCTGCAAGAATTTCGCACAGTGAATCCACCATGGCGCGCTTCAAAGTGTTAATTACCAACCCCACATTGCCAGAAATCGCCCATAATCTACTGAAAGAGAAGTGCGATGTAATTATCAGCCCTGGTTTCGATAAGGCTTCGATAATATCGGTAATTTCCGGAGTAGATGCGCTTCTTTGGAGCGGCGGAGTTCCGCTCGACAAGCAAGTGCTGGACGCAGCTGGACCTCGAGTGAAAGTCATCGGGTTGATGTCTTCAGGATACAATCACGTCGATTTGCAGGAAGTTAAAGCTAAAGGGATCAAAATTGGAAACACTCCTGTGGTACATAACAATGCTGTTGCTGATAAAGCACTTTTGCTGGCTTTAGGCGCAGCTCAAAGAGTAACGGAAGGACGCTGGCATATTGAAAGGGGCACATGGAACAGTTTCTTTGATACTCAATGGATGTTGGGGCAAGACATTTCCGGTTGGTTTTACCTCCAAACCGTTAATCACATAATATAAAGCGTCTTTTAGGTTCTACAGTGGGAATAATCGGCTTTGGAGGCATCGGCCACGCGATTGCTCGAAGACTCAAAGCCTTCGATATAAGCAAGCTGCTTTACACGGGACACAAAGAGAAGCCAGAAGCACAGCAACTAGGAGCAACATTTGTGGATCAGGATACTCTGGTTAAGAACAGCGACTTTATTTTCTTAGCAGCACCACTCTCAGAGGAAACCAGGGAAATGTGCAACGAAGATTTTTTTTGTAAGATGAAGAAAACTGGCGTTTTAATCAACATTAGCCGGGGGCAGGTGGTCGACCAACCAGCTCTGATAAAAGCGCTTAAGAATGGGGAAATATTCGCTGCTGGCTTAGATGTGATGACTCCTGAACCATTGAATACAGACAGCGAACTCCTGAATCTCCCAAATGTGTTTCTATCGCCGCATTTGGGAAGCGCTACTAAAAAAACTCTAAACGCAATGGCTGAACTAGCGGCTAAGAATATTTTGCTGGGATTAGCTGACCAACCGCTTTTGTGTCCAGTGATTTTGTAATTTTTCTTATAGTTTTATGTTTTAATACAAATAAGAGGTGCCTACAATTAACGCTGCATTGAAAATTCTCCCCAATTGAGATTTTTTATATTTGAGCAACAATGTTTCTAATAAAAAATGCTATAGTTTTCTGCAAAGAATCTCTCTTTAATTTAAGTGTTTACACAAATTTACAATATTAAAAGGCCATGAAACCGGCATAGACCATCATCATTCTCTAACCAACGATGCCAAAACGAATTCTCTGGCTCGAATGGTTCTTGAGAAACTTCGAAAAAAGCAGCGTCATGTTCAAGTGGATTTTGCAACAAAGAAAACCACGCAAATCTAAAACTTCTTAAATTCAAGCATTTTTTGAGAAAATTGCCAACATTTCCCCATCCATGGTTCACTTTCTGAAACGGCCATTTATTTCTGTCTAGAATGATGTACAAATAAGCGTTCTTGCTCATTTTGCCTCCGAGAAATGAGCAAAAACGGGAGGGAAAACATGGAAT